GTTTCTCGCACATTCTATAATTAGTATGCAATTCAGCACTCTTTAAAAGCAGATCATACCTATTGGCCGCTTTCAGCCATAATTCAGCTCTAAAAAAAAGTGTATTTAACTAAAATATAAACATTCAGACAACATTTGTAATACGTTTGAATTTAAAATTTAATTTGTTTACCTGCTACGATCAGTCGGTATTGAAAAGAGACTAATTCCTTCCCCAGTTTTCGATGGGCACCCATGAACAACACAATAAAATCCTTTCGTGCAGCCATCACAATAAGTTTATTACACAAATATATTAAATTAACTAACTAACTAACTAAATAACTATTCTAACTAAATAACTTCTCAATACAATACAATAACACTTCTCAATATATAAACAAACAACACTACTAACACTATGGCCGATTTCGCACATGCGCAAAGAAATTTGGATTGCGAAAAAGCCCTCCGTTTCGCTTCTTGTTGTGATTAGTATTCTGTGCCTGAAGTATAAAAAACGTTTCAATAATTCAAACTTTGGTTTTCGAGTACACAGAGAATTCTACCATCACTTAAATTAAAGCTGTTGGTAAGTACTTTTGTTATGTATATTGAGAAAAAGGAGTTAATATTATCAAATTGATTCAAGAATGCCAAAACTGCCGAGTTCTTTGGCTTACTTTAAATGCATAATACTCGATTTTTCTAATTTTTGAAGCAGTTAGATAAGGTCAATAATGGCTAAAACACAAAAAATAAAGAGTTACAGGTTGTTGTACATATGAAGAACTATCATCACACCAAGTTTCATTACTCTAAAAGTTTAAAGATTTTTTTGCTGCTAGCTTGAAAATTTGAAAAAACGCGATTTTCACGAAAATGATAAATTTCAAACAGCTCTAACTCTGAATCTACTTGATAAATTTTAATTTACCAAGTCACATTTTAAAGTTAATAAAAGAACCTTTTGAATAAGACCTATTAAAAGTATTTATAATTACCTATTCACTATTTATGATTTTTTAAAAATAACCAAAATCTTTCGATTTCGTCCGCACTAATTTAGTCCCCGACAATGGATCTTTGGGATCTAGGATTTTAAAAATTGTTTTGTAAATAGTTGACGTTATAACAAAAAAATGAGCTATTCTAAATTAAAATCGGTTTATAAGACATCGAGATATAGCTTTTTGAATATAGGCTAAAAAGGGCCCTTTTTGGGCCTTTGAGAATGGATTTCTCGGGTCCTAGTGTACCTAGAGGCCTGAAATTTATACTGTAGTCTTATTTCATAAGGTATAATAACATACTATAATTTGGAGCAAATCCGAAGACCCCTCCCACAAAAGTGGGTGAAAAGTATTGGAATTGCTCATATATATTAATATACTATAATATTATAAATTTTTATTTTCGAGAGAGGAAGAGAGAGAAAATATATCTTCTTTCCCTCCCTTACTCATTATCTTACATAATATGTTTTCACAGATTCACTCTCATGCAAATTTTCAACGCCGACCAAGCGTATAGAAGTACAACTTTAAAAATAGTATTTCCAACTTCTTATGGGACAAATGCACATACATTAGAAATATTAGGAGAGGTTTTTAAAACCCCCCGCTCATTGTAACGTCAGAGCTTAGGTAGTGTCATCCGGGGGCCTTAAGGTCGATTCAGACACATCAGTCACGTCTCGTCACAGTGATTGCGCCGAACCGAACAATCCGTCATACAAAATATTCTTTAATACAAATATGTTGCCGGCATTCACACTCATCAGTTGACAAACAGTTTCCCAGCTGTCAGATAGTTGATAGTTCTGTGACCAAACAGGACCGGTTCGGCGCCGAGACTGATGTGTCTGAATTGACCTTTAGTCGTGGACTATAATCATCGAGCAAAAAGATAAAAGAGGGAATCTAATCGTTATGAAAAGGAGACCAAAAAAGTGGCCTCTGATGGCGGCCATATCCGGAAATGCAAAGGCGCTAAATTTAAATTTTCCAACACTTATTAACAATAGCTATAAAATATTTTTCAGACGAGAAAGTTTTAATTAAATATTAACTATACTAGTCTAAAAAGTGACACAATTGGTAAAAGATTTCAATATAAATAAAATTTCATGTGACAGTTGGGACAAACAATAACATAACCTAACTAAATTTGACTTCTTAAACAAGGAAAGAGACTGTCTATCCTTGTCTAAAGTGGCCTCTCAAGATGGCACTTCCTGTCTATCAATATGTTTACCCCACTACCTTTACATTCCCTCTTTTGTCTTATTGCTCGATGACTATAATACGCACCCCGATGCGCATCGCCCCGCCTTAAAATATCTTCCAATTTTTCTATTGACCAAGAGATCTGAAAATGTCATATAGAAACATAAATATGCGATATTTTTGACACTCGGCTCCCAAATATGATCTGTATCCTGGGAGTCCCATATCGGGGCTCTGATAATATACTGTGTCTCTGCTCCGATTCTCCGAATATTTAGACTCTGTGGCTGAACCTTGTACATGTAATAGTATCACTGGAGAAATACTTAGTTTATTTTAATTGTAATAAAAGTAAATCAAATATGTTAAAATATTTAACTGAATGATTGAATATTCATAGAGTTATTCTTTATAGGTTATGTCCCAAAAAAAGACAACAAATATCTATTTTACAAAAGAGCCAAAGATCACATAAAATGAGCAATTCATGTACTATAGAACAATAAAAGTAGTTATTGAAATAGCACCATTCTTGTAGAATTGCAAAAAAATCATTATGATCATACTTTTGATTTACAATATATCAATTTTAAAAAGGAAGATATGAACATAATAGGTTTAAAGCTAATAATCAGAGTTCCACAGCAAAGGTAAAATCTTTTTTTTTTCTTATTTAGAAAATTCTCTTCGAGTGTATTAAACATTATTTATTTCTGGTCGTTTTAGAATTCTATAAACTAAAAAAAGCATATTGATCGCATATGAATCACAGTTTTTCCATAAAAAAGAAGAGAGTACGAGAAAGCCCCAGTCTTAAGAGATCTTATAACCAAGAACTCAACGATATTAAAGAAAATTCATAACATTTCAATGAAGAATCATTTTTTATATTTAAATCTGTATCACAATCAAGACATGGGCACAAAATAAATCAGAATGCCCACTCTGCTTCAAAAAATAAGTTTGCGCACACGGAATCAGCCATGTTTTAGTCGGAACCAGTGCTGTTCAGTGACATTTTATCTTGTGTGCATAGAAAATTTAACCAGGTTTAATTTATTTACGGCAACTATACGACATAATATGCACTATTTTATTCGTACTTTTAGTTGAAGAATAGATTAAACTATTTCAAATGTACTGAATTATTAATTTCTAAAAATTTAAATTACAGATCTGCCACATAATAATAAACAATCAGAATGTCCACTCTCAGATGCTACCTTTGAAGTTTAGCACGCGAACGCCATGTTTTAGACGGAAACATAGACTCTTATTGAGAAATTTTTGACAAGCTACGACAGAACTGTAATTTAAATTTTTAGATATTAATAATTTAGTGCATTTGAAATAATTTGATCTATTCTTCAACTAAAAGTACGAATAAAATAGTGCATATGATGTCTTAGTTGCCGTATATAAATTAAACTGGGTTAATTTGTCTATGCACAACAGATAAAATGTCACTGAACAGCACTGGTTCCGACTAAAACATGGCTGATTCCGTCTGCGCGAACGAGATGCGCGCACTTTTTTTAAGCAGAGTGGGCATTCTGATTGTTTATTATTCTGTGATTACGCCTTTATCATTTAAAAATCGCGGTAAAATATATTTAAAAAAAATCTGGCTCGTCATCAGGTCATAAACGAACTTCTACATATAAAGGTCGATTCACACACATCAATCACGTCACAGTCACGGTACCGAACCGGTCCTGTTTGGTCACAGAACTATAAACTATCTGACAGCTGGCAAACTGTTCGTCAACTGATGAGTGTGAATGCCGGCGCCATATTTGTATTAAGGAATATTTTGTATGACGGATTGTTCGATTCGGCGCAATTACTGTGACGAGACGTGACTGATGTGTCTGAATCGACCTTTATAGTTGCTTCTAGTGTCAAATGTCAAATATGTCATTGTCACATTTGTATCTTTGTATGTTTGTATCAGATTGTATTACATATTATAAATAAATAAACATTCTCACAAATTTTTTATTGTATTAACTGGGTAGGAAATAAAAATAAAGAAATCTCTTAAAACAGTAATATAATTATATATAATATAAAATGGGGGCATTTCTCAATTGCGGGCACTCTAACCTAACCAAGCATTTATATGACATTTAACGTTCGCTTAAATGGTGTCAGAGTTGCCAAGTCTCCAGTTTTTTCATACTCTCACATAATATACAAATGTTGATTAAAGTGATATATAAAAAATTAATAGTATAGATTTTAGTTAAATTAAAGATAATAATCAAATGCATATACAATAAAATTGATTAAAATTATATAAAAAATTAATAGTAATAATTAAATTACCGTATATAATAGAAATGCATTGAAATTATATAAAAATTCAAAGATTTTAGTTAAATTAAAGATAATAATCAAATGCATATACAATACAACTGATTAAAATGATATAAAAAATTTATTTAATATATTTAAATCTTGTAGCTTCTCATAATACAAATTATAATTTCGTAAAAGTAACTTATATTTTAAACCTTCATATACATTTTACAAAAAAAATACGGCAAGTTTTATGCTTATTTAAAATTTGTAGCTTCTCATAACACAAATTATTATTTCGTAAAAGTAAATTTATATTTGTAGCATTCATATACATATTTTACAAAAATAAATACGGCAACACTGTGACGCAGTGCCTTGAGGAAAATATATTTGGTTAGGTTAGAGTGCCCGCAATTGAGTAATGCCCTAAAATGGAGCGCAATGGAGATATTACAGATTGTAAAAATCAAGCAATGACATGTATTAAAGAGGAAAAAGATTCCCTAAAAGAATATTTTAACATAGAAGTTAAAGCCGAATTAAATGATTGTCAATTTGAAAGCAATAATATGCAGGAACCTCTTTTAGATGAGTGTTATTCAGATATTAAAATAGAAAACTATGTATTAGAAGATGTAGCTGGTGAAATTAAGGTTGGAATAAAAGAAGAACTGGAACAATATAACATAGGTAAGAAACTAGTTTTTTTACATTTAAAGATTTGAGGAACTCATAAAATTAATTAATAGCTATGGTTTCACCACAGTGTTTTCACACAGTTCATTTATTATTAGTTGATAAAGTTTATTTATTTAGGTGATAACCCTATTAAATGTAAACATACAATAAAAAAATAGAATCTAAAAATTAAAAATATTAATGTCAACATTAGAGTACAATAGAACAGTGGTATAGTACTTGCAAGCACTCTTGACTATGTAGCTGCGCGAAGGCGGGGTCAAAATTCACGTAAAGGCAGAAAGCAGAAAGATTCTATTGTAAGTGGAATTATACTAACCAAACTAAAAGGTTCTACCTTCGACTGCAACCTCGAAATTGTCGAAATAATTGCAGTGTTGGACTGAGTAATAAATAAAAAATTTCACGGTGCATAACCAAAATGGTTTTTATGTGCATTTCGTTTATATTTTCAATGATTTTTGTTCAAATTTCTTTAAAAACTGGTTTTAATTTGGTATTTTAAACTCGACTTTCGGTATTAAATGTGGAAAAAGCCCTATTATTTATTGCAAAATTATGGTTTATAAGTTTATATTTTCAATTTCTTATTTTAAGTTGAGACATATAACTAATATTATGAGATGAATAACTAATACACATTTAATTTAATAATTTATTTTTAAAATTTCTAAACAGTTGTACCTACTTACAAATTAACTAATTTTTTATTTATTTATAAGTGTATTTAGGACGGTAAATTAAACGATATTCAAAAAAGGGTACAGCGAATAATTTGATTTAGTGATAATTTGTTTACTGATTTGTTGAATGCTAATGATTGATTTATAATTTGTTTGGAATTCTCCATACGTCATATCTACCAGAAATCAGAGATTACTAGGAATTGCAATGAGGTTAGATGAGAACAAGTAGAAACAATAGAACAATAATTAGGTTCTACCTACCTATATGTGGATTTCCTTTTAGTAATTAGTTGGATTTAGTTATATACCTGAATTCCTTAAAAGGTTGCTGCTGTGGAGATATGTTTCATCAGTGTAGATAACATCATAACCCTCAGCTCTATATTTTTTTTAGATATTCAGTTCGTTTGGCTCGAATATCCGTTTTTTCCATGAGTATTTTTCAGTTGTCATTTGTTTTTTGCCATTTAAAACCTAATGTATTCAACACTTTTCTGAACAACGATAATTTACCTTGGAAATTAATCTCATTCTTAACAGCTGACATTGTAGACCTGCTGCCACGAATCATTGCAAAAGTATGCACTGTGTTTCTTATAATTTCTCCCTCATAACCATCAACATTGGTTTTCGGTTTTGGCTGATTAATCTTTTTTCTGGGAAATTTAGAGACATTTCCCGAGCTGCCTGAAGGAGATGAAAAATTGGAAACTCTCTCCTTCTTTAATGATTCTTTGGACACTACTTTTAGAAATTTCAGTGGCTTCCACAACCATATTTAAAATCGCACATTTTGTGTTATCTTTTTCTTGCTCCTTTTTTAAAAACTATAAACATTGTAAACAATATGTCAGCCCTGACTGAATAACACGCTGTTATTAATTGTGATGGCACCGTGAAGAAAATGAAAATATAAAAATATTTTTTAAAAAACAAAGATTTCAAAAAAATATAAACTCAAATCAACGTAAATCGTAACATATGAAGTAGTTTAAAAAAAAAAGATTTTCCAATATCAAATATTAACCAGTTAATTGAAACAGACTGCAAGTAATTTTTTTTTGCACCAGTCTCAAAACAAAAAAGAAATGAAAAGATTTTATTAAAATTTCCTTAATGCGCCCCTATGTATTTTAATTTATGATAAAGTACCTACCTTTTGACCGCTTTTAATAAATTTGAATACGCCACAGGTAAACGGGAGAAAACACACAAACTTATTGAAGTTAACACCTTAAAGTCAGAAACACAACTAAAAATTTTCAAGTCGATATAAATAAGTCTAAATAATAAACTATAAATAAAATAAATAAACTATAAATAAGTCTAAGGTCAAGGTGACAGTCTAAGGTCAAAGCACGCGGTAAAGATCGGCTATAAAAATGTATATTTGAGACATGTATACTTACAATTAATAACTAATTCAATGTTAATTGTTGTTAACTTAGTTTTGTGCTAGTAATTTTAGTGAAATACCTGTGAAAATAGTAAAATTCGCCCTGATATTTGAGTTTATTGAGGATCCAATAATCTACAGCGTTGCCAGTTATTCGCTCCGTTGTTTCTTTATAGTGATGGAGGAGCTAAAGTGCGGTTTTTGTGATCAGACTTGTTATTTTAAAGAGAGTAAAACTCTGTTGTTTGGATGTGCTTGTGATAACTGCGAGAAAGTATCATGTAAGGAGTGTAGCAAGATTTCCTCTCAAGAAATAAGATGTGCAATTGCTAAAACCAGAACCATTATAATATGGTGCAAAGATTGCATAAATCAGTTCTCTAATATTGATAGCCCGATTAGGAACCCAAGAAATGCTGAACTAACCATGCCACAATTATCAAATGCCATAAAAGAAATGGTAAAATGTGAACTTAGTGAGGGTATGAAGATTTTGGAACAGAATCTTCAAGAAAAGCTTGTAATGACGTCTAAAATGGTGATCGACAGCAACAAGGAGTTAGTGAAACTTTTGAGTGATACTTCGAAACTAAATCAGAGCTCTTCAGAAAGCCGGGTAAACGTGGCAACGCCAACCTCCCCTCCTTTAATAACAGAGGACAATGGCAGATCGAAATCAGCTGGCCAAGCAGAGAATGCCAACGTTGCTAGCTCTTCTTCTTCTAATTCCCACTTGCCAAAAGACCAGAAGACCTTGGTCCACAGCGAAAATCTAGAAAAAGAAGAAAATGTAACCTCAGGCCAAAGCAAACATCGAGAAAAAGAAGAGATCGTAAACAAAAACAAAATAAACTTTGGAAACAAACATTCTGGTGATAATGACCAAAAATTTACCCTGGTACAGAGAAGAAAGGCCAGGAGAAATGACCAAAACTTTGTTTTGGGTAAAGCGAATTTCCAAGGAGATGAAAATTTTGCTAGTTCTTTTCATAAAGCTTATTTTTATCTTGGTCGCGTAAAAATGGGCATAACACCCACCTTTATTGAACAACATGTTAAGAAGCAATGTCCAAATATTAGGGATTTTAAGGTTGAACCGTTACCAGTTAAAGGTGAAAATATCTCTTTCAAAATAAGCATCCATCCAGATGACAAGGAAGATTTTTCGAGGCCGGATATATGGCCTAAAGGCATCATTTTAAGAAAGTTTTGGATTTCCAATAAACGCCAATCTGAAAATTTTCAACAAGATCGAGGAGATCAGACCAGGATATAACTAAAAATGACTCCTTGAAATCAAAATCAAATGTATGTGTTTACTATCTCAACACTGGGGGCATGCGAACAAAAATACAGAGTTTCCAGCAAGCTTTGAGTTGTTCCTGCTATGATATAGTAATGATTGCAGAGACTTGGTTAAATTCAGATTATTCTGATGCTGAAGTGGGAGTTCCAGAGTATGACATTTATAGATGTGATCGTGAATTGGGGTTAAACACTCTAAAGACACGTGGAGGTGGTGTATTAATCGCAGCTAGAAAGAGCCTTTCTACTCAAAAAATCGTAGTTCCTCTTGTTGACTCTGACATATATCAGTTATACCTATCATTTAAAATCAAATCTCAAAATTTTGTTATTGGCTGTGTATATATACCTTCTCCATCACCTTCTCAGTCTTATTTAAGTCATTGTGAAACTGTTGAATATGTTTACACTAATTTTTCAGATAGTTTGTTTGTCTTGGCAGGTGATTACAACCTACCACAAGCTAAATGGGGCAATGATGAGTTGGGATTGACAGTGACAGGCACTGGAAATGACTCTGTAAGTATTGTAGCAAATTGCTTTAGTTTCTATAACTTCTTTCAAAAGAATGATATTTTGAACAGCAAAGGAGTCCGATTGGACCTGATTTTTAGCAATTTGGAATCTATTAATGTTACTCCAGCAGTAGATAAAATTTTTGAGAATAGTTATATCATACAGCTATCAGTTTTGAACTAGTGTGTGAAGAAAATTTTGATGTTATGAATTACGAGGAATACTTTTATGATTTCAAAAATGGTGACTACTTTTCAATAAATAATTATTTAGCAAGTATAAATTGGGAGGTACTGTTTCTTAATGGTACAGTTGATAGTATGGTGGTCATTTTTTATGATATAATTTACTCACTGATAGAACACTTTGTTCCACTAAAGAAATATAAAACCTCTACCTTTCCCTCTTGGTTCTCGTCAGAGCTGCGTAACCTAATTATATGTAAAAAACAGGCCCACAAACAATTTAAAATTAGTGGTAGGCAAGATGATTATGACCGTTTTGTGGCTTTAAGAAACCAGTGTGAAATTTTAAGAGCAGACTGTCAGAAACAGTATTTAGATGGGATACAAAATAACATTTCCGATAATCCAAAATATTTTTGGTCTTATATTAAAAGCAGAAGAAATGGGTATAATATACCATCCAGAATGGTCTATAAGGATAGGGTTGGCTTAAATATGAAGGACTCTGCCAATATGTTCGCAGAATATTTCTCATCAGTCTACTCAGATGAACAAAAAGATACTTTACCTTTTTTTAATTTGGACAGTTCTATTTGTTTGAGTTCTATAATACTTACAGCAACTGAGGTGTATGATACTATTGCAAGTTGTAAAAACAGATTATGTGCAGGGCCGGATGGAATCCCAGCCTATTTTCTGAAAAAATGTATATGTGTACTTACAAAACCAATTTTGTTTATTTTTAACAGATCACTTGGTACTGGTAGCTTTCCCAGTCTCTGGAAGAAAAGTTTTTTAAAGCCGATTTTTAAATCGGGTGCAAGGAACGATATATCAAACTATAGAGCTGTCTGTAATCAGTCGGAGCTGCCCAAGTTGCTTGATTGTTTGGTTAGTAAGAAACTGACATGGAGTTATAGAGGCATTTTTAATCCTGAACAATTTGGCTTTATGAGAGGGAGGTCAACAGATACCAACCTGGTTTTGTATGTCAATCATATATATAACAGCTTTGAAGAGGGGTGCCAGGTTGACTCAATCTATACTGACTTTTCCAAAGCATTTGATCGGGTAAACCATGGGGTCCTCTTACAAAAACTAAGAGCTTTGGGTATTTTAGATCCCCTTCTTCAGTGGATTACAGAATTTGTTAGTGGCCGTACGCAGACAGTTAACTTGGGAAGTGACACTTCAATTGAAATAACAGTTCCATCAGGCGTGCCACAAGGCTCCCATTGTGGCCCTGTTTTGTTTTGCTTGTTTCTGGTTGATTTAGTACAACAAATCAAAAATTGTAGTGTTCTTATGTTTGCTGACGATGTAAAACTGTTTAGAAAAATTCAATCCTGGAATGATGCTGTTATATTACAGGAAGATCTTAAATCGTTTTATGATTGGTGCACTTTAAACAAAATGTCACTCAATATAAACAAATGTCATAAAATGACATTCTCGAGGCAAAGAAATCCAATTACATTTGTTTACTACATAAATAACTTGCCATTAGCCTCGAAAAATGAAGTATTAGATTTGGGAATTTGGTTAGACACCAAACTGTCATTCTCAAGCCACATTAACCAAGTAACAAACAGAGCGATGAAAGTGCTGGGATTTATCCAACGCACATCTGTGGATCTGTCTTTATTTACATTTAAAAGACTTTATTGTGGTCTCGTTAGGCCCATTCTTGAGTTTGGATCAGTTGTATGGTCCCCATCATACCACTGTTACATTCAACAGATTGAAAGAGTCCAGAATAAATTTTTGAGGGTAGCAGCCTATAAGAGTGGATATAGGAGAGAGGAATACGACTATCAGTGGGTAAGAGATAGTCTTAACTTACCAACTCTTGAGTCAAGGAGGACATTGTTGGATTTATGTTTCTTACACAAAGTTATCAATGCTTTTATAGATTGTCCTCAACTCTTATCGCTTGTTAGTCTTAAAGTTCCTAGTAGAAGCAACAGACAATCAGAAATCTTTTCGGTGCCATTTCACCACACTAATTATGGTACCAATGAACCAACTACACGATTGGTCCGGAGTGCTAATAGCTTGCCAAGACAAATAGATATTTTTGACTCCAAAATTAGTTTGTTTAAAAAACAACTAAAAAATATCTTACAATAAGTTGGTTATACATCTGTATTATTCTTATATGTTTGTATTATTCTGAGGTGTTTGTTATTTTAATAATTTATTGTTGTTAAGGTGTAACTTTTTAAAACTTGTGATTGTTATTTTAATAATATATTGTTTTTAAGATGTAACTTTGTAAAAATTGTAAGTAAATGGATGCCGTATATAAATAAATAAATAAATATTTTCACGTTGCATAGTCCAGTGCGTTTCGCATGGAAGTGGAAACTAAACCAAATTTCGTCTACTGCGCCGTGGTCAAGAGTGCTTGCACGGACTATACCTGGTGTTATCAAAATGTGTCATCATCATCATCATCACTGGTTCAACAACCCTTTTTGGGTCTTGGCCTGTTCCAGGATTCTTCTCCATTCTGATCTGTTTCGTGCTTTTTTTCTCCAGTTTTTTATTTTTAAGGTTGTTATATCATTTTCTATTTGTTCTAAATATTTCAGCTTCGGTCTTCCTCTTGTTCTTTTTCCTACTGGCATCTGTTTGAATATTTTGTTTGGTATTTCGCTTTCTTCCATTCATTCTACATGTCCTATCCAACTTAGCCAGAAAATTGGTAGTAAAATGTAAATCATCAAAAATATATAGTTTTCCAAAATTAATGAGTGCATTAATAATGAACTTGGGCCATCAAATATTCTGAAGAACAGTATTGAAAAAGGTAAATAAAAAAAGGCATTATCATATGGAAGTGTAATTTAAATGAAAAAATTTTTATTAGTTTACACAAAACTTCCACCTGAAGGATCAATAGATAATGTAAAGCATGAATATTTGGTGGATTTACAGAAAATTTTTATGTTCAATGCATATTATTCATTGTGAAAGAAAGAATTTACTCTGCAAGTAGCAAAAACACTCCTAGTTTTATATTTTGTTTGGTGTTTGTTGACCTCAACAGTGGCATACCCAGGGGGGTTTGGCATTGTCAGAACCCTATTCTGACACTGTTGCTGACAAGTTTTAAGGACTAAAAATGGAAGTAGCACCATAAAAAATTTTCGGTGCTCAATCAAACCTTCCCCCCCCCCATAGAGGGAAATTTTAGATGCGCTACTGGACCTCAAAGTATTCATTAGTACTTTTATTCTCTTGATATCATCAAGTACCCTCTGAGGAGTACCATTATTGGAGTGATGAAGAAGATTTTGGTATACATATTATAAAAAAAAATGTATGCCAAGAAATCATTATTTGAGATTTTAGAAATTTATACATTTCATTGATAATGAATGTATAGATACAAAATACACACAACGTAAGATTTCTACTGTATGATAAATACTGAATTTAAAAAAATACGGAACTTTCAAACAAGAATTGTTGATTGATGAAATTATTGTGACATACTATAGACAACTCATTGAAGCCATTTATAAGTGGAAAACCTATTTGATACAACTACAAATTTTGGGCTCTTTGTGGAAGTAGGAGATATATTTTTTTACTTTCTTACTGGAAAAAAAAATTGCCAAAAATGATTGTAAATATTTGACCTAGGGTTCTCACTTTCTGAACCTGCAAGCTACTGGGTATTTTTTAATAAATTATATGCCAGTAGAATTTATTAATTCATTTACAAAAATGTGGCTTCCAAGCAACAGGGACGTTTTAGGAAGACAGATCGTAGGAATATCATATACAAGAACAACAACTCTTGGTAAAGAGCTCATGAATGATATAATTTTCAATTTGATGTAAGTGGAGAAATGTTTATTTATAAAAAAAACTTTGTAAAATAGAATGATAATAAGTATGTTAAGTACTATAGCATATACTTTTAATAATGTAGAACCTCTTACATAAACTAGTAGATATTATCCCAGGCTCAAAGAAAAACATTTAATTTCTCAACCACAAGTGTTAAAAAATTATACACATGGGGGGCATGGATCAAAGCAACTGATTTTTTTGGAAAATATTCGTGTGATTGATTGATATGGCATTAGTAAATTCATGGCTTCTCTACAAACAAGTCAAGTCAAATATTATTTTATTAAATTTTTGTTAATCTGCAGAAGTTCTCCACCCAAAATTGACACTTAGTACAAGAAGTATCGCAAAAAACTGTGTATCACATATAAAGTATTTATGGATGTAAGATTCGCTTGAAAAGAAG